GTCTACTACATTAATCACATTTTGAAGATAAGTTGTCTTTACCAAATTCGAAAGAATTATTGTCGCTACTCAGTGAGGTTGAAAGGTATTTTTTATAGTAGCAATAATTGTACCTCTATCTATCTCAATATTATCTAAATGAAAAGTCAAAGAAGAATTCCAGTATGCGTCGAAGACTTATTTGTCTTCTTCCTGAAGTAAATAAGTTGTATACAATATACAAGTCGCAGGGAAAAATCCTAGATACCTAGAAGCATAAGGGTTTTTAGAATTTCTTTTATCACATAGTGGGGTTTAACTAAAAGCGATTAGGAATAGAGGCGATATCCCGATCCCGTAGTGTACGTTAAATTCTGCGGCCTCTCGACTGGGATTCAATTCGAATGCAGATGCTTCACCAGATTTCAAATAGCTACGTGATTTCCCGTTCCATTTTTGAAATATTTTCTGGCTCTTCTTAATTTCGACTAAAACTTAGCAACTGAGATAAATTTCTGAATATTAATAAATTCATAGGTAAAAACTTCGGAAAATTATACAATAGATAAGGAAATCTTGTATTCTAAAAATCATGAAATCGGTTCTTAGAGTACTTAAAACCACAGAGTGAAGAATCTGCTTTCTTTTATATTGTAAAATCTGTAAATATTGTATTCAAGTGATACATTCCTGAGAATGAACACTTTTATACTCTATGTCATCTCATTGCTCTATTAATTGTGATCAATTGTGATAGAACCTAATAAATCAATGAGCCTAATAAATGAATAATGGGCGTCAAAATTAGAATATATTGTTGAGTATACATATCTATCTTGATTATAGAATTTAATTTCATTATTAATTCCTGGAAAATTACCTATCGACAATACTGTAGGGTCGTAATGTATGTAACATTGTTTGCTTTGATTCTATACGGTTGTTACGTTGAATATATATCTGAGTAAATTATAAGTAACTTAATAGCTACGAGCAGTCCCGAAATTCAGACGTTTAAGTCGAATGGGACAATTATATCAAAGGGTACGTGTAACTCTATAGATGAAGCCATACCAACGCAGGCCTCATTACGAACGTCACTAATTCCTAAATTCCAAGCCAGGCTGAATGAGTAGAAGGCTCGAAATTAGTACCTTTATGTACTTCAAAGAGTCATTAATGTGTTGCGATATGCGGTAATTAGTGATGACAACTTTTTTTTATAGATCTGGGGGCAAACGGGCCAACCGAATGTTGAGTGATACCGCCGCCCATGGACACTCTTTATGCCAGAGGGCTCGCGAGTGCATTTCTGATGTTTTAAGAACTGGTACGCTCTTTTCTTGAAGTACCCTTATTCGAATTGGTCGGAATCAATGCGCATCTGGTTTTACATACTCATAGTGGTGGTGCAAAAAACGCTCAGTTGTGGAACTTCGGACGTAGAGGTGATACGACAATAGCTACTTATATAGTACCATATGAACTGTAGAATGTATATAGAATATGGGCGTAACATCTAGTGGGTACCTTATCGTATTAAAAGTCCGAAATATAATGTATTTTCAATATCGAAACGCCACTATGATTAGGTATGAAGATTCTCTGAGCAACAAATAGTGTAAGGTAATATAAAAGACAATTACTTTCTTTAATTTTTGTTGATAATATACAACTTTTAGCCACGAGTTATCATTATATTTATATTTATTTTATGTCTGCGCCCAGAATAGTTAGAGAAGTATTAAATTGTTACAATAGTATTTGTAACAATTTTTTTATACTAGATACTTAGATTGAGTTTTAGGCAAATAATTAGTGATCCTCTCTTTCACTATTTGTAAGCTTTATTGGGCCTATACTTGTAATTTTTAGAAGTTCAACATCGGCTTGCTTTTCGGCTCAAAATTCTATTAAAAATGTTTCAGCTCTCGAATACCTACTGCATTTTTTATCACAAAGCGTCGGGTTTCGCTTATTCCTGCAATTCGAAAAAGCATTTACGACAGGTTTCACGGGATCCGCGGTGGGTATGAGGGTGAAGGCGAAGGGGGTTGCCAAGGTAAGAGGCACGATTAAAGTTTCCCCGGTAAAACATCCCGGGCCCGCGCGGCATTCTTCTGACGCACACATGACAAGTTTCCTAGATAAATTGCGCTCTCGAGGATCGCCTGCTATTTATTTAATGTCGCTTATTTTTTACTTAAAGATGCTTTATTATTTTCTCGGATGAGGTGACAGTGAATAATAACGCGAAAAATCTTTATAGAACCTCGAGTTAAAATTTCACTTTTACCTTAGGATTAAAAAAACAATAAATCAGTGGCGCTACAACCTCTTTAGGTCTGGGCCTCAAATCAGATCAGCCTTTTTCAATCAGTGGTGGCCTCCAGCACACGCCTTCGACTTTTTGGGTCTAAGAAATGTCGGTTTCCTCACGATGTTTTTCTTCACCGTTCGAGTGAATGTTAAATGCGCACATAGAAAGACAGTTCATTGGTGCACAGCCGGGGATCGAACCTACGACCTCTGGGATGAGAGTCGCTGACGCTGAATGCACTAGGCCAACATGATTACATTAACGCTGCTGCTTAAAATTACATTTGAAATATTTTTATAATTGCGTGAAAATAGTATTTTGTCTTACTCGAGGTTTTTAATAAAATACAAAAGAGAAACCTGTCGTTATTTTTTACGTAGAATGCCTAAAGCCGTCTTAAGGGCCTAAGTCCTTATTGACATAAGCGTTGGTTTTAGTCCCGCCCGCCCAAGCAGCCGGAAGGCAGCTGTATCAACAGAACACATTTCGGCCCGAGTGGACCTCAGCAAACACTGTCCTTTTACTAGACCACCATTAACACTAGTAACGGTATCAAAGAGTATAAATCTTTTCCTTGTTAACCACCTTAAAGCATTAATTCTTTGCAACAAATTAAAGTGAAAGTTGATTACATTTTTTTCTTCATTTTAAGAAAACTCAACAATCGTCTGTGACGAGCCCAAGTTAGGTCCAGGAATATAATTAAAGGAAATAATAGCTAGCAGCAATATTGGACTTATCAAAGTGACATTGTTCGGATTAACATATAATTTATTATGTGATATCAATAATTCCCTAGAGTCCGTGATTATGTTAATAATAAAACCACATAATCTTCATTATCACTGCCCTAATGTATGGAAACTTTAGCAATTATGCTAAAGTTCAAACAATATTATTGTTTATCATTAATATCCTATCACGATAATGTGAGTTAGGTAATTACGCGCCACTTGCAGCTAGCGCATCGATTAGCTGCTTAAAGTTCTCGTTTAGTTCAACGTGCCGAAGACAAGTCAGCTTTAAGGCCAGTATTCGTGATTAACAATTTATAATTACATTTTAGAGAGCTTTTGTATATAGTAGTTTTATTATAAAGCTAGATAAGCCAATTAAATACGTCATTGCCATGAGCGACACTTTCTTCTTTTAATTGTTACTAATCAGTTGTTTACGATTATTTAATCGTAGCGCTACATTTAATAAAGGACTTAGTATAGCTTAAGACTTCCTTAAAATATTTTTTTTATATAAAGTAAGTAAAAATAAATTCAAAGTACAAATCAATCATTAATAGAATTCTGTACATATATGTTTTGATAAATATAAATTTACCTATCGATACGTTTAATGAGAAATATTGTAAGGTGTGATATTCAGATTCAAAGTCAAAACTTAGCTCTAAGTCTGGAAACGGAATTTAAATCTACGTTATTTTTTCTCATATCTTGTGTATAGTAAAATTATTTATGATTCAAATGTACTTATGCATATTTAATTTTAAACAGATTCGATGTACGAAGCTTAGTACGTGAAAACTATACCTACTTAACGCTGGTAATATTAAACATTTACATACAAAACAGTCCCTTTGCCTTCATTATGACTATTTTCATGTACAACTTTGGATCTAAGCGAGTATTATTTGTTATTCAGATTAGCATCTATGTCTTGGTCACTACGGGGACAAGGCGACAAGACAGAAATCGTTATTGCTACCGAGACGAGTAGGTATATCAAAAAGTTTAGAAAATATACTTTACCTTCTTACAAGTCAATCAGTCATTCTGCGTGGCCATGTAAGCTGGTTTAAAAATTAAACCGTTCAGTGTTAAATTCAAAATCAACAATTTTAAAGGTTTACAAATGTATTTTCTTTTAAATGTGTGAGTTCTCCCCTCTTCGTTCCTAAATAAGACAATGCTATATTGTCAATCTAAGTGATTTATGAGCTCAAGCCGTTTGTCTCAAGTCTCGAGTGTACAGGAACTAGGAAGGCAGGTTGCAAGAACTTGTAACTGTTGGATTATTGGATACAGTAATCGCTCCCTGCGGATACAAACCCAGTCCAACTCACTACAACTTTCTTCTGTGGCACCATCTTAGCAAAAGCTAAAATTCAATCGAAAGCGGTTCAACTTTTGCAGCTGAAAGTGTCAAATTAAACAAAACTTTTCCGTATAAAAATTGCTAGCAATTAGCATCTTCTATTAGGATTTAATCAAACCGTAAACAATTTTTGACAGGCGTAACCCACTAACGCTTAACGAAATTATTTACATCCGTAGGTTTAATATACGATATTTGATTTAGAGTTTAAATGAGTAAAATATGAGTTTGAAACAAATTGTGCTTGCTCATCTTTAAACATAATTCTGTTGAAATGAAACTAAGTATTGGTTAAATTAACATTGCTATATAAAACATCTGTAATAAAAGAACCACTATGAATTATTAAACTAGATAAATTGATCATAAATTAATATTTTATTAGTTCGCCGGACCTGCTATACGCATCACTTGTCAATTGTCATATTTGATTAATTGTCATTTATCCACTGTCAAAGTCTGCGCAAGTCGCGACGCGATGCGACGTTGAGCATTGCTTTCTATGGTTTGGAATATTAATAAATTATAAAAGAGAGTTTTGTGTTCTTCAGCGCGATTGATTTAATTCCAAGATATAAAGTGAATAGGTGAAATGTTGGTGCTCTTCGAAACCCCGGCGGGGTACGCTATTTTTAAGGTGAGCATCACACGTGTCGAATATAACCTCTCCAAGCTTCCACTTATCTCGACAAATTAGGAGTTTTTACTATAATTTTGCTAAGAACTATAAAAAATAACGTATATAAATTAGCTGTGGGATTCTGAGAAGTTTAGATTAGCCCTTTTATTAATATTTAGTACTCGACCATACTTAAAAACATTCTTCACACAAGCAAATTACTGTTCTATTAAATTTTATTATGATGATAAAACTGTTTTGTTCTAGTTGTTGGATGAGTCAAAATTATCTGAAATTGATAATGTATATCAAGAATTTAACACACCAGAGGGAGCAGCATCAGTGTAAGTTTATTCTTTGTTTTTAAATATCTGTTACACCACATGTTAGTAAAAAAATTTGCTTCATATTTTATATAACCTCCATGCATTCATTTATAAGTAGTTAAACTAGTTAGATCTTAGACATGAGTTGTTATTTTCTCAAAAACAAATTGCTCCTACAATATTAAAGTACACAATTATTGGAGACATACTAAGTAACTAAGTCTAGTTTATGATATATATATATACATATATTTTTTTACAGCGTTAAATTAAAGAACTTTATAAAATTTGAAGACACCACTGAAGCTCTTGCAGCAACAACTGCAGCAATTGAAGGAAAGCTTTCTAAGACATTAAAGAAGGCCCTAAAAAAATATGTCTCTAAAGATATTCAAGAACAACTTCTGGTGGGTGATGCTAAGTTGGGTAATGCAATTAGAGAGAAATTTGACTTACAATGTGTTTCAAATAGCAATGTACAAGAGTTGATGAGATGTATTAGATCTCAAATGGATAGTCTTCTTACTGGCTTGCCTAAGAAAGAGATGACAGCTATGGCTCTTGGATTAGCACATTCCCTATCAAGATATAAACTGAAATTCTCTCCAGACAAAATTGATACTATGATTGTGCAAGCACAATGCTTGCTTGATGATTTGGATAAGGAATTAAACAATTATGTAATGAGATGCCGTGAGTGGTATGGTTGGCATTTTCCTGAGCTTGGAAAAATTATAACAGATAATACATTATTTGTAAAAATTGTGAAATTGATGGGTACTCGTGACAATGCTTCAGGAACTGATTTGTCAGATATTCTTCCAGAGGACTTAGAGGAGAAAGTGAAAGAAGCTGCTGAGATTTCTATGGGCACAGAAATATCTGATGATGATATTGTCAATATCCAGAACTTGTGTGATGAAATCATAAATATTACAGATTATAGGACTCATTTAACTGACTATTTGAAGGCTAGAATGATGGCTATGGCACCGAATTTAACAGTGTTGATTGGGGAACATATTGGAGCTAGGTTAATTGCTCATGCAGGTTCCTTAATGAATTTAGCTAAACACCCAGCTTCAACTATACAGATTTTTGGTGCTGAAAAGGCACTTTTCAGAGCACTTAAGACTAAGAAAGATACTCCAAAGTATGGGCTCATATATCATGCGCAGTTAGTTGGCCAATGTAGTACAAAGAACAAGGGCAAAATGTCTCGAATGTTGGCTGCAAAGGCAGCACTAGTAACACGTGTTGATGCATTTGGTGATGATGTGTCTTTTGAACTTGGTGCTGAACATAAAGTAAAGCTAGAGAACAAACTTAGGCTGTTAGAGGAAGGCAACATAAAAAGAATCAGTGGGACAGCTAAAGCCAAAAGCAAATTTGAAAAATATCATAGTAAAAGGTAAGTAAATTTGCATTGTACTGTTTTATTTAAAAGTTTCATCTGTGATTTTCCTTGGATTAATAATTATTGATTGGGCCTTACCCTGCTTTCATATGTTTTTAATAAGAGATTAAGCCAATCATAACCATAGAGAAAAATAGCCTTTACATTGTTATGTCTATACCTTTTAGAAGATTTGTATCTCTATATATTGTATATAATTATTTGAATTGCTGTGGCATTGACTTTGTTTTAAATCTATGTAGCTGATATTAATGTGTGCTTATATAATATCATTTTAATTATTTAGAATTTTTTGCTGTATTAAAATGTTAGTACTTTAATATATTTTTCACAACCTAGCCCCACTTAGTTTGGCCTCTAGATTCTTATTCATTAATTATATGTACCTATTTAAAAATATATAATATTAAACTTTTTAGATATTGTTTATATTCTTCTTAACATTTGCAATGTGAGTGGTGTATATCTTTGTAACATTTAAGTTCAAACTATGAATAAGTGAGGCTTTAATATTCAATGCAGTTAACTTACATTCAGAAGTTTTTGGACTTAACATAAGTGTACTAATTATGGTGTGAATTTGATGTGGATATTATATTATAGTGAGGTGCATCATTATCCGACTGCGGGAGACAGCACCTTAGGACAGAAACCTGTTAAGAGAGAACACTCACCAGATAAACAAGTCTCTACCAAAAAGATCAAGCTGGAAGATGGTGCTGAGGAGGTCAGTTTGTATAAATCACTTAACTAACTACTTTTATCCATTATAAAATTGTGCTAACGGTTGGTTCCGGGTACTTATGGCACTGTCTTTCCCAGAAGTGGTAGCAATGTTAATGCATACAAGTTGGATATTTATATAAAAATATTACTTCTATATTACTATTATCAAATAACTAGCTGTAATTTGAAGTAGTTTATTATTTTATCAATATCACTTGCAGGTCACACCGAAGAAAAAAGTTAAAGAAGAATCCACCGATGATGTAGACGGTCAGTTGAATGGATCAGTCTCAGAGAAGAAGAAAAAGAAGAAAAAGCAATCCCTTACATCTGATGTAAAAGAGGAACCAGAAGTTAAAGATGAAATGGATATAGCAGAAGAGAAGACACCAAAAAGCGAAAAGAAGAAAAAGAAAAAGCAATCTCTTGTCTCAGAAGTAAAGGAGGATCCAGACACGGAAGTTAAAGAAGAGATGGATGTAACAGAGCAGAAAACACCTAAAAGCGAAAAGAAGAAAAAGAAGAAGAAGCAGTCAATGTCTGAAGATGCCTAAGTACCTCACTTATATAGACGAAATTGAATCAGCCAATGTAGGAATAATTGTTTTGCAATGAACATTAAGTTTACGTTTGTCTCGTTCTGTCATTTGGCTCTAAGAGTCGATTATTAATTATCTAATGGCTGAATAGTCAGATCGTTTATTAGCTTTAAGGATAGAAAAGTTCTCATTAAGAGATAAAATTACTACTAAGTATAATAAATATAGTTTTATACTTATAATGCTCTGTTTTATTTGCCTTAAATAGTATTTTGTACAACCCAGATAGTACACGGATTAGACACATTTACATGTAAACCCATAATTAACGATTTCCTTTTTCTGTTTCACGTAAGTCTTGAGACTTACTAGATGTAGGTAAAAGGTTTCCAACCTTAAACGACATTCATAGGTAGGTGAGTAAGACTCCACGACAACTTCAATTGCCAGAAAGTCTTGACATAGTAAAAAAAAAAAAAAAAAAAAAAAAAACCCCCGGGGGGGGGGGGGGGGGGGGGGGGGCCCCCCCCCCCCCCCAAAAAAAGAAAAAACAGAATTTTTTTTTTTTTTTTTTCCCCAAAAAAAGAAGACCCCAAAAATTTTTCAACTACCTCCAAAATGTCCGTGGTTTCATTTGATGAAGTTAATGTTGGATACATTTTATTGTTATTTCTTTTCACCTTCACCAGGTAGTTTTATTACCTATATAAAAAATTGTTAATTTATTTAATGTATGCTTGCTAAGGGAAGACCTAAAAAGTAGTTGTGTTTTCGAAAGATTCCGAGTAAACATGATTGATTTATTCTTTTGAAATTAGAAACAACATTCATAATATGAATAACTTTATAGGTTTTTTTCTGATTGTTTTTTTACTAAAAAAAACATCGTAAAACTGAAAATCAATACGATAATATTCAAAAATTGGAAATCAATTTAGATTTTGCTTTAAATTATCGGTAGATTGCACTCTCTCGGTCACTAATCACTGTTAGCGAGAGCTCTCGATCGCGTAAGCCTGCGCTAGTTCTATACGAAATTTAACTTAAAATCAAACATATTTGTTCGATTAAATTGCTTATTCATCAACGCAAACAATACGCTAAGGTTGATAGTTAATACATCTTGTAAATTATATGTAATGTACTCGTATAAACAAAAAGGAAGGTTAGTGAATAGTTTTATGTAGGTATCATTTTCAAACGCAAGAACTTTACTAACCGAGTTAGTAAAAGCTTAAGAAGAAATAATTCATTAGTGGATATTCATTAAAAAAATCGTTTGCGATACTTCATATTAGTCTATTTTCTAAGGAGGTTCTACTGAAAAATTAAAATGTTTAACAAAGAAAAAACAGCAAGCAATTTGTTGCGGTTAGCGAATACAACAATCGCTTGAATGGTAGTCCGGCACCGGCATTGTGCTCCCTATTCCAACAATGAGACACCGGATAGCGGCGAATTGGATACTCTCAAGTCCACAGTTATTAAGCTAAAACTACAAGAACATAAAACCATCCTAATTTTTGTAGCTTAACATTGTACATTGTTGGGGTTGATTACTGTTTTTAATGCGGTTTAGTGTTGGATTACGTACTTGGAATACATAGTTCATATAAATGATATACGAATTGATAAGAAACTATATACGCACCTGTACAGGGCTAGAAATGAATTTTTGTTACATATTTTTATCACATATTATTAATTTTAGTAAATAAGGTACTAGATAATAGGTACTACACAATTTTATTACATAAGGTACTAGACGTTTTAAATACTCAACGACAATCGTCATATACGTTTATATATTTTATGTATAACGGTGTTTTTGAATACTTTATCTAAAAAAAACACTCTTTATAAGTGTGGATTCGTATAGACAATATAAAAATATATCAGTGGCTTTCATCTCTTAATTTTATTTAGGTACGTATAAACTCGTATATTTAACCCAAAAGCGAATCAACATTGAAACCCTGTTGACATTTCATTGTTTACAATAGAGAGAGTTCGTTAATGTACCTTTCTCGGGTCTTTGACAAAATAAGAAAACAGATCTAATCCCGAAAACATACTGAATAGAAACCACTAAACTTTCATTCCAGTTAAGTATATTGTGGCTTTGTATTACCGTTCATTAAATACCACCGAACCCCGCTTTGTATCACATACATTGCGTGTAAAATGACTTAGATAAATCATTTAAGGATTCAAAAGAATCAATGTATTGGACGAAGTATAAATCTACATAACCCCGTCGTTAGGTGGTAAATGAAATCGTCTATTTGGCAAAAATATAGGTGATCTTGAATGTAATAGCGTAGATATAAAGTCAGTGACGCAGAGATAGGCTAGATTCATTTTATGTCCTTCCTTTTATAGCTCACTAGATACCTATCACGATCGGTTGTAACTTAGTAATTCGGGGAATAGTTATTACTCCCAAGTTGTATAAGTAAACCTAAGTACTGGTATTATATCATGCAACCATGTTTGTAGATAATAATAAGCCATTTATTTACTCTAAAATTTTCATTGGATTGCAGTCGGTTTCTAAAACCACTATATTATAAACCGACTTAAATTATTTAATGGTTAACGGTTAATGGCGTTAATAATTGTTATTAGAGTGCCTCCTTCCTTCCAATGTTCTATGTTTTTGGATTGGTGCAACCACTTTCTGCCGGCCACATTCACGAGATCATCCGCCCACCTGCGCTGTGGTCGGCCAACGGAAAATAATTCCCAAACTGGGGCCCGTTTCTGCGTGTCGTTCGTTGGTTTGTTAGTCTATCTAAGTGACCTGCATACCGCCATATGTGTAGTATCATATTATCAGTGATTATTCAAAATACCTTGAAGAACGGAGTTTCGTGAATCTTCGAAATATCCAGAAGCTTTACAATCTAAGTTAACAAAATTTCGACCTCACTTGAACACGCAATATTTATTTAGCCGCCCAAAACGAATTCCATTAACGTTGTTCTAGTGTCGTTATAAGATAACACAATTTCACGCTAGAAAAGATAAAAAGACGATTAGGTTTTAGACTAAACGTTGGACGGTGGTAATCACCAGCCTTTTAATTTCGTGAAAACTGCACTACTGCAATTTCTGTTCACGCCTTTCTCGCGATCCGTAACCCTCTCAGGACAGCACACACGGTTTCACAAAATATTTTACAGTTTTTACTAATTAATAAACTGGACAGTCAGGCAGTCTTGTGTTTTCAAAAATGAGGACATGTATTAAAGAAATACATTTTTTTGTCAGTAATAAATATTGCTTTGTTAGAAATACTCAGCATATGAACGTCTACCAAACTTCAAACTTAAATCTAGATTCAAGAGCTGTCTATCCATTTTTTTGTATGAAGTTTGATAGTGCTCAACACGAGATTGTGAATTGTGTGTGTGAAAAAGAATATGTACCTTAGAACAAACTGATGATCCAGCGTGGTAGACAAAACCGATGGTGGTAAAATAATTAGTGAAACAGGCACAGAAATGTCCCTGCACCACTTGGGAAGGAAATAAAACCCGTTAAAAACAACACATTTTCTTGTCTTAAAATCTATTCTGTTTATTGAAATATTTTAAACCTATTTGAAGAAATATACATTGTATAACTAATCAATAATTACTAAAGAACAAAAAAAAAAAAAAAAAAAAAAAAAAAAAAAAAAAAAAAAAAAAAAAAAAAAAAAAAAAAAAAAAAAAAAAAAAAAAAAAAAAAAAAAAAAAAAAAAAAAAAAAAAAAAAAAAAAAAAAAAAAAAAAAAAAAAAAAAAAAAAAAAAAAAAAAAAAAAAAAAAAAAAAAAAAAAAAAAAAAAAAAAAAAAAAAAAAAAAAAAAAAAAAAAAAAAAAAAAAAAAAAAAAAAAAAAAAAAAAAAAAAAAAAAAAAAAAAAAAAAAAAAAAAAAAAAAAAAAAAAAAAAAAAAAAAAAAAAAAAAAAAAAAAAAAAAAAAAAAAAAAAAAAAAAAAAAAAAAAAAAAAAAAAAAAAAAAAAAAAAAAAAAAAAAAAAAAAAAAAAAAAAAAAAAAAAAAAAAAAAAAAAAAAAAAAAAAAAAAAAAAAAAAAAAAAAAAAAAAAAAAAAAAAAAAAAAAAAAAAAAAAAAAAAAAAAAAAAAAAAAAAAAAAAAAAAAAAAAAAAAAAAAAAAAAAAAAAAAAAAAAAAAAAAAAAAAAAAAAAAAAAAAAAAAAAAAAAAAAAAAAAAAAAAAAAAAAAAAAAAAAAAAAAAAAAAAAAAAAAAAAAAAAAAAAAAAAAAAAAAAAAAAAAAAAAAAAAAAAAAAAAAAAAAAAAAAAAAAAAAAAAAAAAAAAAAAAAAAAAAAAAAAAAAAAAAAAAAAAAAAAAAAAAAAAAAAAAAAAAAAAAAAAAAAAAAAAAAAAAAAAAAAAAAAAAAAAAAAAAAAAAAAAAAAAAAAAAAAAAAAAAAAAAAAAAAAAAAAAAAAAAAAAAAAAAAAAAAAAAAAAAAAAAAAAAAAAAAAAAAAAAAAAAAAAAAAAAAAAAAAAAAAAAAAAAAAAAAAAAAAAAAAAAAAAAAAAAAAAAAAAAAAAAAAAAAAAAAAAAAAAAAAAAAAAAAAAAAAAAAAAAAAAAAAAAAAAAAAAAAAAAAAAAAAAAAAAAAAAAAAAAAAAAAAAAAAAAAAAAAAAAAAAAAAAAAAAAAAAAAAAAAAAAAAAAAAAAAAAAAAAAAAAAAAAAAAAAAAAAAAAAAAAAAAAAAAAAAAAAAAAAAAAAAAAAAAAAAAAAAAAAAAAAAAAAAAAAAAAAAAAAAAAAAAAAAAAAAAAAAAAAAAAAAAAAAAAAAAAAAAAAAAAAAAAAAAAAAAAAAAAAAAAAAAAAAAAAAAAAAAAAAAAAAAAAAAAAAAAAAAAAAAAAAAAAAAAAAAAAAAAAAAAAAAAAAAAAAAAAAAAAAAAAAAAAAAAAAAAAAAAAAAAAGGAAAAAAAAAAAAAAAAAAAAAAAAAAAAAAAAAAAAAAAAAAAAAGAGGAAAAAAAAAAAAAAAAAAAAAAAAA